TATTTGCATACATTTATTATATTGAAATACAGGAGAATGGCAAGCTTTGGTTTCAAACCACTTGACAGTGTGAATTAGGGAAGGGTCTTTGTAGCCACTGAACCTTACAAAGCATTGCTGGCATAGTCATTTCTGTGTCTGGCTAATTCTGTGTTGCTCTGCAGGAGAGGGTGTTTCTGCCAGTGACATGCCATGTCGTGGTGGGCAGCAGACTGATGCCAGAGAGACACAGTGATATGGCAGAGGCCACCATTCCAAGAGTGCCAGCTCGGCACTGACTGTGCTGCAGGATTAAATGGCTTTAGTCCTGTACTGCCTTTTGTGTGGGCAGCCTTTGGCCTGACATATCTTACTTCTGCCTGCTGCCTTCCTTGAGCAAAAACTGAACTAATGCAGCCACTCTTTGCAGAATCTACATGCTCCTATCTTTAAGGCACTGAGCTTCACAGCACTGTGGCCCCTTGACTTTGTGGCACAAATCTTCTCCTCTTTAATGCATACCTTGTATCCTTGCATAATATCAATACCTTGATATTATGCTTTCAAAATCTCATCTATTAGAAGAAGCCAAATTTATGAAAGACCTGATTTATAGCTTCTGATTTATACCACATACTTTCCTGGAGTTACTGATGCTGACCTTGCCATTTTTAAGAGAGAAACAAAGTCAAACTTCTGCCAGACAAACCAGGTTTAAACATCAGTAAGGAAGGAGACTGACTGTCCCAACAAGAAGTTATGGGCAGCTAGTAAAGCAAACTGAGAAACATGAAGCATTTATTATTCACTGGCAATAATGGTTTCCTGTTAAAATTGGCTGTTTGACAAAGGTGATGAATTTAATTCCTTGCTTTCTCATTGGGGAATTAGGAACTTAGTATGGGACAGGAGAAAAAGTCCTCTGCCTTCTCTGGAGAGTAAGCTAAAGCTAGCCAAAAATAAAGTTTGGAAGGTGTTCAGGAACCACTGTCAGGAATTTTGTGATTTTCAAAAGTGTCAAAAATATTGAAGTACTGTAGTTGTCCTGGAAGCCAAGCCATTGTTCACCCCCACACATGTCCATGTGGAAGCAGCTCAGTGAGTGCTCATTTAGGACATAACCTATGAAATAGCTGCAGTACAACTTCTCATGAATGTCAGCACAATTTAGTGCCTGTCAGGAAGTGACAGTGAGACTCTGGACTTTTAAAACCTCATATTGACAGTGAATTTTTTGCAAGCTTCAATTGCTTAAAGGATTGAAATTCATTATCTCCTGTAAAAGTGTGACAAATATGGAAGATGAAGGAAAATACTTAGTTTTACATATTTGGCCAATTTTTAGGTTTTACTTTAGAGCTGCTTTTGCTTTTAATGGCTGCAAAAACAAAAGAGCTTCATAGCTGCTCAAATGTGCAGAGGAGTTATTTATTAGGTGCTATTTCAGACTCTGCTTGGACAGGCTGGGCTGTAATATCAACCTCCAAATTAGTTAGTAGCACTGCTGAGGGATGTTTTCCAACCTCTGTTTTTAACACTGTTAGATTGGAGCTTAGAGTGTGGATAATTTAAGGATTTTTTTAGTGGGGCCACTGAAGATGAACTGGAGTGATTCTGCCCTTGAGTTAGCAAACACTGAATTATAACTGTGTGTACAACATGCAAGAGCACACAGACGCAGCTGACCCTGTTGCTGAAACAGTAGTACTTTGCAGTAGATTCCTTTCAAAAGCATTGTGAAGAGAACTCTAAAAGACATTATCTTAAAGGAGAGACACCTGCTCACTGCATATTAAGACCACTGATTTGAGGAACTGTCAGATTTGGAGGTCAGTCAGGATTGCTGTATTATATGTGCCATGTTTAGACCTTGTCTACCAGTGGCTTAATGTTCAAATAGCAAATACATCCTGTTAAAAATACAATTTTAGAGACTTCATGTTTATGCACTGTTTCTGGGAAATAATGGATTAAGTGTCCTGTACTAGGGCTACAGCCACCCCCCCAAGGATGCAACCTATGTAAGCATGCTATTATTAGACCTTCACCTTTTTTTTATATTTAGCCAAAATAGTTAATGATTTAAAAGACAGAGCAGTTATCACTGCCTGTCATGTGGAAATTACTGCTCCCAATGCTTAGTCAGCAGAAGGCATCAGGGTTTTAGATGCTCTTGCATCTACAGTAATATAAATTGTCTGAGCTTTCTCCAGCTTCCAGTGAGGGTACTTTGAATAACTCAGACAAGGCTGCCTGAGAATACAAGGGTGTGGTTAGACACAGAGGGGTGTTTCATGCTACCTTCAGGTGGCTGTGATATCTCATTTCCATCCAGTCACCAACTCTTTCAACAAACAATTATCAGCCACCTGTACCCCACTGCTGCAAGATTTGCACTGCAAATTCAGAATCACAGTGGCATCACTAGTGTTTGTACAGGGAAATCAAGAATTGATATGTGTCAATTCAATGTCTTTAGAAAACATGCCCTTTTAATGCTGGAGGATATTGGCTTTGGTTTTGCTTACAGTGAGTGCCCTGTGAAGGACTGGAGCAGACTACTGACTCTTTTGCCCGTTTTTTACCAAATACTATTTAGTTGATACTTTTTTTCCTGTTGGTGCAAAAGGACAAGAATTTATTGAGATAATTTTTTGGGATTAGAAAGTGAGTGTTTATAATTTCTTTGAATAACTACTGAAGTTATTTATAAGTACTACTGAATTTTTTTAATAATAAATACTGAAGCTGTTTGTGAGTCTGCTTTTATTCCTTGGGAATTTAACATCATTGATGTACCTCAACACATTATTTGTCTATAGTTTTATCCCCATGTGAAAGTTACTGAAAATGAGTGCATGAAGAACAATGCTCTAGCAGTTATGACAGATTGGGAAAACCTCCATGAAAGACACTTTCTTTTATCTTTTCCTTTTTGAAACAATTATTTCTGATGTACGTCTTAAAATCAGACTGAGAGAGAAGGCATAGTAGTGGGATCATGCTTGTTACAACCTGTACATCCATTTGTTACACACCCTTTTCTGCAGACTTCCACCACACCCTAAATCTTTCCAATAAGAAGCCCAACATGTGTCTCTGCATGGACATTTGCAAGCTGAGAGCTGCCACTGTGGAGCTTGGGCCAATGACTTCTAGAGTAAATGCATGAATCTTAGCAGCTAGTGCAAAAAGAGACAGAATTTCCAGTTGTTGTGGATGCACATCCTCTGAGTACTGGACACAGATGTGTCACATAACACATTTTCTGACTGGTGGCCTGCACAAACAAAGAGTGTGACAAATGACCGAAATGTGAAATGTGCACTTTGGTGATTCACTCCATAAGTCACAAATTAGTGTAATTTAAAGCACAGTATCTCTTTTAAGTGACCCTTATTATGTGAGCAATATTAAATAGTTCCCTCTTGCCTGTCATAGTAATGCACCTTGACTCCTTTGAGGTCTTTTTTACAGGCTTTGAGCAGCTACCTAGATCAAGATCATATTCTATGTCCAAGAATAGGACCTGGGACAACAATTCCTTCTTTATTGTTGCTCTCCAGAAATGTTGGAAGTCCAATGAGTCTGTAAGGCCAATGATAAAACTATGGAGTGCACTGTTAAAACTAGAAACAAGTACAAAAAACCCACATTAGGGTAGTTTATTTCAGAACTAAAAAACTAACTACTAGTTATATTTGGAAAGGGGACTTAGCAACTGCAACATTCAGGATGATCATTTGCCTACCTTGCCAGCTAGCTGTGTGCATGTCTGGGAAGGAGAAGCTCAGGCTCCCAGAGCAGCCTGCAGGGACAGAAGACTGATCACCAATCTGTGCAGTCAGGCCTCTAAGCCAAATTCCTGACCTGCATATGTGGGTAACAAGCATGGCTTCACCTCTGAATCTCTCTATATCCAAAATCAGGGTTTTGAAAATTTATCTCTCCACAGGAACTCCAGTCCTGAATTTCAGTCTGCCTGACCTGCCTTACAGTTTTGGTGTATGTCTGTCTAAATTATTCCTGTGGGGAAGGGAACCCTCTAGTGCTATTAAGGCACTAAGAGCAACTTTTGTTCTTTAAGAACTTGTGTCTTTGAAGGCTTAATAACTGTTCTGCCTAATTCCCTTGCCAGCTTCTGATTATCTGTGGAGCCTGAATGCCTCCAGAGGCAGGGGAAGACTGAAGAGCTTTCTCTGACAAGGGAGACCCAGTGTCCTGGATCACATACCTAATGCATTGTAACAGAAAACAATTGCTTTCCAGTGTCAGCTTTATTTTAAACATCAAATAATAGAAAGAAGAGGGTGCAAAAGCACCCTAAACATATCAGTGGATACTGGCTCAGTTTTTTGCTTCCTCCCTTATCAGTCTCCTAGGGAAGACTTTATCCCATAGGAAATGTAATATTATCTTCTGGATGGAGTTGGTAACTGGCTTACTACTTTTTATCATGAATATGCTGAGTGGATCAGAAGAGAGAAGATATTTGAATGCAGCAGGAAGAAAACAAAAAGCAAACAATTATTAATTTACCACTGCTGAGTATTTTTTCAAGTCTTAATTTAAGTCTAGTTTAAATGAGAAAGCTTAACACTGTGCATCAAGTATTCTCTTAAAAATATTCCAAACTCAACCTGTATATATCTATGGAGAACTTCCATTGATTGGTTTTTTGCATGAAAACCTTTCATATTAGATGCATGTTATTTAAAAGCACCAAGTTGAAAGATAAAGAGAGAAAAGAGCTTTTTCTATAAAACAGCAATCATCTTATCTGCCAAAATCACATGTAATGGACCATTAGTTCTTTGTTCCATATCCTGTGTTTGAAATGTCTTACCTTATAAAGATGTCAGGACTAAAACCATTGTAAGGAATTACCTCCAAGGAACACATCCATTTGTGGAGAAATGTGTATTTTATGCACGGTAACTTATACATATGGCCTGCCATTTATGAAAAATTATAAATAATACTCTGTGCTGATGCTTCGTTTTTGTGTTGTTATTTTCCAGATGGGAGTTTCTGTGGTGGATTCATCTGTTGCAGGACTTGGTGGTTGTCCCTATGCAAAAGGTGCTACTGGAAATGTAGCCACAGAGGATGTGATATACATGCTGAATGGTCTGGGGATCAACACAGTAAGATATTTTTACTTTCCAGTTAAGACTTTAAGGAAAAAAAATAAATTCTAGGAAACATACAATACGTACCTCACCATAACTTGTGCTGTACAACAAAATATCAGAGCCCATAGAAGTTTTTGCAAACTCAGTGCTTTAATATGGCTTGACACATAACAGGAATGATGATGTCTTCATTAGCAATTTAGACTAGAAATGGTTTGTCTATTTAACATCATTTTAATAATCTACTTCTTCCTACCTGGAGCTATGAGGAAATTAGTAACATCTGCTTTGTGTCATTGCTCTGTCTCAGTAACCACAAAAACCTCAGTACTGTAGACATTGCTACAGAAGGCTGATCATCTCAACAGTGGAAAGACTGAACAGAAATCAGCTTTTGTCACAGTTTTGGATTTGGCTCATAGTGCTTATTAATTTGTTGTCAATTTTTCTGACTTCAAAGTTGAAAAAATTTGTGATGTTTGGCACTCTGGCACAGGACATTGTTATTTCTTGGGTATCCACCTAATGTATTTCAAAATTGTACAGAACCTGTTACTGGCTAGGAGTCTTCACAGTCATGTTTATTACCAGTCCTGTTGTTGGAGGAGAGGGCAGAGCAGCTCACATACCCTGAGCTGCACTTTAATGAGCCTTACCAGTGAGCATCCACACCTCAAGAGCACTCATTTAGTATCCCTGGCTGGCTGGCATGTTAATTATTCTGTATTCCTAGAACTCATTTACTGCCTTCTTCAATAAATATGCTCTTTGGTCTTCCTGTCTGTCCCTATTTATCTGGATGTGTGGCATAATGAGTTTGTGCTAACTCGGGCATTGCTGTAACTTTATTTTTAATTTACACATGGACATGGAGAGTCAAGTTCAAAGGAGAACATGTAAAGAACTGCCAAAACTACAAAGTGTGTGGTTTGCATTTAAATCACCACAGAAAGAAATCTAAATGCCTGATATCTGACATAAGAAGATTTGCATTACTGAGGTCATTGGAACTTATCATTCACTTGTTGGTAGGCAGCAGTTCCGTGTGGTGTACAGGCCAGTGGATTCCCTTGATGTGAAAGGATTACAGAACTTGGACATTCCCTGGGCACTGTTAAAGCATATTCAGTGCCTTACAGAGTTCACTGTAAGCATTTATCTGCTCTCATCTGCTTTTTAGGGAGTTCAGGGTAGGTATCAGAAAATGTTCAATCACAAGTGTCCACTGTACAAGTGGACTCTGTTTTGTACTGCTTGTACACACTTTGGGGTAGCTTTTCCTCATGAAAATGATGTTTATTCTTTTGAAACAACACAATTCTTTGAAATAAAGAGGAGAAATCATGCATTTCACTTTATATTCCTATGCACCTTAGACTCATGCTTTCAGTATAGCCTTTCCTTGGGCAAAATATTCATTGACCTTTCCAAGTGACTCATAGCAAAAGGAAGCAATTAAGCAAAAATAGTTGGATTATATGAAATATACCATGTACCAGGCTTCTTGATAAGATTGATTAATCTGTTAACAATCTGGTGGCCGAGCAAGAATACAGCTTGTCCTAAACATTGATAAGAAATCCCACGGAGACAATCTCACCATCAAATGCTTATTTCTTCTTTTGTTTGGTTTGGTGGTTATTTTATTTAGGTTTTGTTTAATTTTAAATTGAGATTATAGCAATAGCAAAACACAAGTCTTTGCTTTTTGAATCCTTTTTCATGCTTTTTGCACAAAGTTTTGTAGTGTTGGATGATAAATAAATATAGCATATATTTAGACTCTGTATTTTTCTTCTAACTTCTAGTTGTAATTCCAGCTCCTTATTCCAGATTATTCTGGGGTTGAAGGTTATTACTCCAGTATTTGGTCCACCGCTGATGGGACAAGAAATCACTCTCAAAGTAGTAGAACCTTCCAAACAACTAGAAGCTGTAACTACCTGTAAATCACTGTAGCTTTACGGATCCCCATTACTGACATGTAACATGAATTAGGCCCTTTGTTTCCAAAAATTAGACCCTGGAGCAAAAAACTTGGAGTCTAAGCATTTTCAACATGTGCATTTATTATTCTTCACATTTTCCCCCTCTTTTTTAGGGAGTAAATCTTTGTGCCGTGATGGAAGCTGGAAACTTCATCTGCACAGCTTTGAACAAGAAAACAAACTCAAAGGTTGCACAAGCTTCCTTCAGTACTGGAACTATCAATTAAATGGATTTTTCTTTTTGCAGCTTGATTACATTTTCCATTTACCTTGACCAAGGACATTTGCTTTAGGAAAAGAAACAAGGAAACCATTGCATCAAAGAAACAAAATAGAACCTATGTATAATTTTTATTTAATGGGAACAGTCATTGTACTGTACTGTCTTGTCAGGAACTGTCTGATTTGTAAGTAAGAAATAAACGGCTGTAGTACAGAACCCTGTACTTTGTACTTCTACAGACGAGAGAAATATATAAACATCAGGAAATTTTACCATGTTTAAAATGGAATTTTTAGTTCTTTTCAGGAAAACCAGGTAGAAACAGTGAGTACATAGTTAAATTTTAATCGAGATGTCTTTCAGAACAGTACAAATATTTTCAGTAGTTTATGAGATCTCACACTGTGTGTGGCCATTCTATTATGTATTTTATTTATCTGAATTCTTGCTTTTCATTTGTCAAGTCACTGTGTTAAGAACACAGAGCCAAATCTGAATTCACTGTAAGAATTTATTTAGCAATAGAACTTCTTTTAAATTTTGTTTAACATCTGCTAAATTATGGATGACTTTATCTTGTTCCAAGACATTGTGGTGAGTGGCACTCTGCCAGCTCCTTCCAATCCTCCAGCAAATTTCCTTATTTGTTACATATGTTAAATTTGTTGTAGTTGCATTTTTTGGTCAACTTATTAAAACCTAATTATATGAAGCAAATAAAAATTGGCAAGGTTTTCAACATTATTCAGGTTCATAGTTGTGTAGAAGGGGCTACATTTTCATCCAAGGTTTCATAAAAAATTAGATTTTTCATGCTGTAGGCTACGAATTCATATTCTCATTCAGAAATCAGAGGCTTTTTAGGATAGTATTATTTTTCTGGACTAGCTTACACAAAGGAGACTACAGATTTTTTTTTGTGCTCTACTGAAAATGATACTGTTCTTTTAAATGCCTTAGTTCAACAAGATGCCAATGAACTGCACTGTTCAATAATCAATAGATTAGATCAATAATGAACAAACGGACAAATTAAAAAAGCCTTATCCTATATATAAATGTTCAAATGTGCCATGAAAATACTGTCATGTTTTTCATCCTGAAACTTCAGTACTCTTACTGGTTGTTTGTGTGAACTTGTCTGTACTTCTCTGTGTACTTAACTTTGATCTATATTTTTTCTGAACATGTCCTGTTGACATGAAAATCTAAAACCCTGGACTGTGGTCTTCATCCATATTCTCAATTTTCCTCAAAAATGTGAAGTCTTGTCAAAAGGTAAGTTGAAAGAAAGTGGAAGATAACACACAAAAAAAAGAAAAGGCTGAAAGTTTTTTGTCTGGAACTCAAGTCTGCCAAGTTACAGCTGAGTCATGGTTTGCCTTTGAAATACCGAAGTGAATTTTTCTGAGATCTTTCAGCCAGTTGTGTACTTTAGAATTGGCATTGTTTAAGAAAGTTAGTCTTTGCATTCCAGCAACACAAAGCTATAAATTTGATATAACACCCCTATTCTGTTTATGCCATAATTATAGTCAAAATTAATATAAGCTACTTTGTTTCACTCTTCTCATGATAAAAGTCGAAGGATAAAAACAGAAAGGTGTTCAGGTGAGGCAAGAAATATCTTGCCTATCATTCCAAAATACTAAATCTTTCCTGCAGAGTCTAGTAAGAAGACTTTGAAGTACTCCTGAAGGTAAGAACACCCTGATTTTCTTGACCTGCCCTGGATGCATGATTGGATCACCACAAAAAAACTCTCCTCTTTTTTCCCATGTTTCAGCTGGGGCTTTGCTATTTAGCAGCCACTGTAGCTTATATACCAAAACATGAACTTAAATAAAACCAGGTCTTGAACCATTCACAGACTTAAAAATTCTGTAATGAATTTGACCAAATGAAGAGGTAAGGAAACTGCAGCAGTGCAGTTAAGCCTAAGCATGGTGCCAGAATTGACATATTAAAAACTCCCTAATTTGTGTGTCATTTACCCCTGAAGGTGACTAATCTCACTGTAATACTTTCCTATTTAATAATAATTTTTCCTGTTTAGTTTTCTCTGTAGGCACAGATTTGGCTCATTTTGAGCTGAAGCATGCAGTTTTCATGTAGGTCCTGATGAATTTTCTTCCACCCAAGACCCTCTAAGCCAGCATGTTTAATTAACAGAAAAAATATCGAGCTTCTCAAAGACTGAAAGTGAAGTCAGCCCTTGAAAACAAAGCAGTTGTGATGCAAACCTGAATGTGAGACTAAACAACTGAACTGAGACTGAACTTGCTGCTCAGCCTGGGGAGATTAATACCCACCCATGACAGGAGCTGAGGGAATGGCCTGAAGTTGTGTCAGGGGAGGTGTAGGTTGGATATAAGAAAAATGTTCTTCACCCAGAGGGTGGTTGGGCACTGGAACAGCTCCCCAGGGCAGTGGTCACAGCACAGCCTGACAGAGTTCAGGAAGTGTTTGGACAATGCCCTTAGGCACAGGGGGTGACTCTTGGGATGGTGCTGTGCAGGGCCCAGGAGCTGGACTTGATGATCCTTGTGGACCCCTTCCAACTCAGCTTTTCCTGTGATTATGAACTGAAAAAGAACACACTTTCTCGTAAATCTGTAATAATTTGTGCCTCTGGGAGGAATGGAAAATTAAAAATTCCTAAGCCCAGAAAAATCCCAAGAAAAGAATGTCAGTGCCTCTGCAAGGCAGGGTTCTTTTTCTTGAAGGTGGTGGTGAAGTCTTCAATTATCAGCCAAGTAAGGAACTGAACAAATAGTGTCCATTTTTATGCCTCTGTGCACAGTGCATCCTAGGCTTCTCAGCATCTGGACTGTCTGGTTTGCAGACAGTTGGCTCTTGATTCAAGGCTCTTGATTCTCCCCATGCAGTGAAACAGGGTACCTATTAAATCATGTAGATGAACATCCTAAAATGTCTCAGTTCTTTATTGGGTGAGTCTGTTTTAGAAACTACTTGGAAACTTGTGGAGAGCCTTAATTGCAGGTCTGTTATTCTGTAATGATGTGAGCTTTGGAAAAGATGAGCAGTCACATCTGGAGCCTGTACTTTACCCACATGTTCAGCTTCAACCACATCGTGAGTTATTGTAATCCAGGGTGGAGGTCACAGACAAATAGATTGTTTGTCATGATTGTTATGAGAGAGAGAAACATAGAGCCAGAATGAAAAAAAAGCAACCCCAACCCAGTGTTTATGTCCCAAAATTGCCACCTGGGATGAATTTAGGTCGGTGGGTCCAGGTGATCAGTCCCTATGAAATCCTTGTTTAGTTGTAATATGACTGAGAATCTTGAGACATCTTATGTTCTGCCTACTAACATATTTTAGGTTTGTAAAATGCTGCTGCTCTGATTTCCTGGGTTGGCATAATTTTGACTATGCAGAACATTTTGACACCTAATGTCTGGCTTCAAAAAATAAGCATCTATTACTTCTAATAGCAAAGACTAATCTAATAGCCATGTCATGAGCGTGCATCACTCACATAGGCAGCAATGAATTCAGCTCATAGGACAACAGCTGAGACTATATCGCTTGAAAAACATGCCAAGACATGGGATGAGGCTCTCCAGTGCTCCTGACCCCTAAACCTTTATGCTTATATTCAGAAGTACCTATATTATATATCTGCTTATATTCAGAAGAACCTCAATGCTTATATTCACTAGTGATGTCTGTTCTTTTAGTCCCTATCACTGTCCCCAACTGAATACAATGCTGTCACTTCACCATGAAGTAGCCCCCTGGCTGTGGAGGCCTTGCATCCAGGAGTTTGGCTTCCATGAGCAGGTGTTCTTATCACTGTGTCATTATAAAAATTTAAGTCAAGATATTACATTGTTGAAGGTATGACTGGTATCCTTTGTTGGAGGAAAAGTTGATCAGTTCCAGTAGTATGGGCATAATCATTCTTCAGTGCCTTCCAGAACACAGCAACAACATAGATCCCGTACAGTTCTAATGTCTTCCAGCAGCAGCTTGCTTTGTAGTTTAAACTTTTATGTATTAGGGCAACCTGGCTCTGGACCAACACTTTAATGGCTCATTTTTGTGTATAACCAGAGCTTATGAAATAAGAACTAAATGTTGTAGTGTTGTGAATAAGTCCAGAGAGGCTTTGGCTAATTTTCCTCTCTTAATAGTGTCATTTGAGTTCATAAAACTTTTATTATTGTATTAAGGAGTCACAAAATGAAGACTACAAGTCTGTGAGATAAAATTCTTATGTTTGGGATCAGTGTTGTTGAAATGAAATAATGCTTATCCAAAGAGTTACTGTGAATGTATAAGATCTGCTCATTTTTTCCACTGAGTTTAAGGGGTAGAAATATTTTTAGTTACTGTGATATCAGAAATTCGATACTTTTTGCCACTGAATTTTTCTGTGTTTTCTGACACTGCCTTCAGTTCTCTTCACTGATTGTGAAGTATCTAGATGAGTGGCTAAGCAGGTGTAAGAGTGGCAAGTAAACAAATTCCAGTTTTTGACTTGCTGATTAAAATTAATCAGCTTTTCTTTTGTTATATTTTTTAAGATTATTTTTCTCTACATCCTGCTGTAATGCAGTGTTGATCTTCATTGCTGCAATAACACAGCAGGCAAAAGGACTACAGCCAAAGTCAACTCAGTCCTTTGAACGCAATGTCAAAGAGACGATATGTTTGTCAAGGAATTGTCTTGTATCTGCCTAGTTAAATGCATTTGTGATTTTGCAATATGTGGTGTTACAGCTGAAATAAAATCTCCCTTGCTGTTTATTGAAACTGATATGCTCATGTTTTATGCCAGATTCAGCAGCTCTGACTGACCAGCTCATGCATACAGCATTAGCAAATATAAGCTGTCACTGACGTGTATGCCTGTGTTGACTTTGTTACCTTGTAATACATTTTGAGTGCTTTTTCTTAGGATTACCTTTTAATCTGGTGTTCCTGTGTGTTTTTATAGCAGACAAATCTCTTTTAAGTTACTGGGGAAACATTTCCTTCCTCCATTAACTAAACATTAAAAGCTACAGGCAGGAATGGAGGTAGGAGTTCAAAAAACTCAATGAGGCATTATCTAACTTCAGATGTTCCAATGCAGGATAGAAATCTGTGCTAAGTGATGTCTAAGATTCCCTACACACTTCATGGGAGACTGAATGACTTCAGCATGTGGTCTGAAACATCAAAATGCTGATGAGGCAACTTTCTTGGCAAAGTCAACAGCAAAATTCCCTATCCCGTGACACTCATGAAGTGCCTCAACATGACCTGCATTTGGTTGTCTTCAGTAGTTGAACACAGGGGTTAGTATTTTCCTTGGTGGAAAGACAACCACAGTCATTTTTAAAAAGAACTGAATGGTGTTCTCTGTTTTGTGGCATATCTTCTTGTGTTGGTGCTGCTTCCATCCATCTCTCTGTTCCTAGCTTGGTCTGACATCTAGCTCAGAGCAGCGGGGCGTGATTCCCACAACAGCCTCAAAAGGCTGAGCCTCTGCCTATCCAAGTATCTCATTCTTTTCACCACACAAGCAGGTGAGACAGCCAAAGAAAAATGTTCATTTTGAAGAAATCAAGACCCACTGTGGCATTACAGAAATAGAAACTTGGGCTTTACAGCTTCACACTGCACAAGGAAGAGCTAGTCCTGTGTACTTGTCCCAAAAATCTTCACACATTTAATTTGAAACAATTGTTAGATGAAATGCATAAACAATCTTCAAAGAAAATACCCCTTCAAATGAGAGTGCTGTAAGGCAAAAATTCATGGTTTCTCCCTCTAGCCCAATCAGTCCTCATTTCTTCCCTTTGTGATGTCCCTGCTTCAGTGGAAAGAGGATGAGTGCTACAAAATGACATGTGTCCTGAGAATCTTGTCATCAAGAGACTTAACTTTCCTCATCTGGGTACTGTATGCAGGTGTCATACTTCAGGGGAAAATATTTTAATAATGAAGCTCTTACAAAATACTGCTTTTTCTTCCTTCATGGTCAGACTCAAAGGTCTTGAAGATCTTTTCCAAACTAACTGATTCTATGATTCTCTGTTCAGAAAACTGTGAAGCAGTTAGAGTATAATCAGGATCACAGGAGTACAGATCATCTCAGCAGAAATTTTTTTATTTAACAACTAACACCTAGATACAATTGACAGACTACTTTGTACACATGGAGTGGAGGGAATGTACATTTCCCACTAAGCATCTTAAGTCATCTCTTAAGAGAGAGCCTGTGAAATTGCAGAAGAACGCAAGAGCCATTAAATATCTTGTTGTCTCTCAGAGTAACATACCCTCAGTTTCAAATGCATTTTACATAATTGTTTGTGACTGTGCATGTGTGTCTAAGCACATCTTTGAGTTGGGGTTCTAGTGTCCAAATATAAGATAATTAGGAAAAAAATGTTTCTAAGACAGAAGGTAATTTTTTTGTTGTTGTTGATTGAGGTTTAGTGAAATTTGAATTTAAATGTATCTCCATGAATTTTGTGAATGGAAGATTCACTGGTTTTTGAAGTCAGACTGAAAACCAGCACAGGTTTCATGTCAAAAGTACATTTCCTGTGTAATGAAATGTTTTTATCCAAGATATTTTCAACACTATTTTCAGTTTAAAATTTTTCCACTTCACAGTTTTAAAAGGAAGAATATGAATATAGGACTTTGGTGAGAGTTAGGCCAGATGCTGCAAATTGCTGGACTGCTAAAGCAGATCTTTTTGATTAACAAATGAACTTCACTTCTCTGTTTCCGTATTTTTGTCCAAATGCTGATTTTGTAATGACAGAACATTTGATTGCAAAACAAAAAGGACTTTCTTTGGTTTATGCAGATAACAGAGACAGAGAAAGTCCATGTTGTAATAATTGTGTAAGATTTCTAAGCCTCTCCCCAACAGAACTGCACACTTAAGATTTTGCTCTACAGTAATAACTTTTCAAGCTACCAAAGCCAGAAGCAAGAGTCACATAGAAGAGTAGAGATTCTTGCTTTTCTGATCACGTTAATTTCTAGTCCTAGATCAATCATCTAGCACTAGATGTGGCCCTAGACCATTGGTCTCATGGTCAAAACTGGAGGTGAGCTACATTTAGTGATAATTCAAACAAAATTGAAACTAATCACATTTGAAATAACAAGGCAATACATGTGCTATTCATGGTAACAGCTGAATAAGAAACAGCAGTCCATTCTTTTGTGCTCACCAGGACTAGATTGTCACAAAGATTTAACAAAGACAACTCACTGGTAGTAAATAGAAGCTGAAATCTAGCCAAACAACGCAGCTATAGAGAGAAATCCAGAGCTCCTAGGGACAAGGTGGGATCCAGGATGGTGTTTGGGACCATGGCTCCCAGAACAGTGCAAGGGAACAATCAGGCACTTCGTGTCTTGCCTAGGGACAATGAATAGGAAACACAGATGGTGAGATGGGTCACAGCTTCTCTCCTGAGAAGCAGGCACTGCAGCCCCAAGCAAGTGACTTTCTCCACTGGGCATTCAGACCAAAAATTTCTCTCTAAAGTTATTGTATTCAAAGTGACAAACCCCACTCATTTCTTTTAGAAGCATGTTGGAGGAGAAATTAAAAACATTTTCAGCAACAACATTTTGGAGTCAAAACATTATTCCAGAGAGTCATTTCAGTTCATTGGGGGCTGTAATCCTGATCTCCTCCTACCCTGCAAGTGCTCCACCATCAAACCACAGGCAGCTTTGCTGTGACTGCTGCTTCAGGTACTTGGTTACCTGGGAGCCAGGTATACAAAACTGCCACATATACAAAACTGCCACATATGTGCTCTTTATCAGGTCTCTAAAATGTTTCTGAGTGGATTTTTTTTTTTATTTCTTCCAGGTGAGTTGAGATCAGAAAGGGTGGACTTCAAAGACTGCCATTTTTGATACAGCAATTATACCAGTGTCATGTGCATGTAAAAATCTAGGAAATGTACAGCTCAGGACAGATCTGTGGATCTACACAAATAAGAGACAGCACAGTTTTACCATTTTTACCCCTTTTTTCTGCTTTTGAAAGGCTAAAAGTAAGCTAATAAATATAAAAAATATTTTGTATGCTTAACTACAAAATTTCATAATTTATAGTAGTTTTTCTAATATATATTTTATTATCACATATGTACAACAGGCTGGCTTTCAGGAATAGCCTTAAAAAGCACAAGTAACAGAGTACTTCATCTGTGACTTTTATAATGGGCCATAAATGTTTCAGAAGAATGGTCTGACGAGAGACGTCTTGACTCATGTTTTGTTCTGCAGGCTCTGAAAACAAAGAATGTGCATGTATTTAACAATAAACTACACAGCTTTTGGTTTGAACTTTGGCTTAATTGAAATCAGTGACAAATTTCTCCTCTTTTTATGATGAACACTGTGGTATAAAATAGTCCCCTTCATTGTTATTAATGCATTGTTCTTTCTTCCATTTTCTGTATTCTTTAAATCTGAATTTTCTTTATATGCTGATGTTTCTGTAACTGCAAACCTAAAGAGAAAGCCTCTGTTCCCATATATCCTTGACTTGCCTCTTGCATTTTTCTACAATTCCTCTTTGATCTGCCTCGGAACTTAATAATGAATTTTGACTCAATATCCCTCCCACTATATATAGCTCCTGCTACATCATGTTCTGTTACCTATCATCTGACAGTGTAATTCTTGAAATCTGGCCATTTAATTTGGTCCAAGAAAATGTATCATTTAGAAAAGGCCATGTTCATTTAACTAAGTGAATGCACATTTTTGTTTTCTTACCAAGCATTGGTGTATGGGCAGTTTCTCATACAGAGGGAGGGAGGGAGGAAAGGAGGGAAGGAAGGAGAGAGGGAGGAAAAGAAAAGGATGGCAAGGATAGTGGGTGTTGTTTACAGACTCCTATGAGCAAAAATGGCATTTGGCAAGAATCTTAACTACAATAGCAGCATTCAAGATTTGGTTTCAAAATATGTTATAATGCTGAATATTCTCATTTCCTTTTTGCATTACCCCTGCCTGCTATGGGGCTAGGAACATAGTCTCACAGAATTTTTGAATTCAGATTTCACCTTCCCCTGCCATGGGACAGGAAATGAAACCTCCCAAAGCCTGGGATCTCTGCATGAATGGAGGGCATTGTAGATACATCTCGTATTTCACCCTTCCCTGCTGACACCCACAATGTCAGTTCTTTCCATCACTGGGGCATGCTGGACTGTTTCTAAAGACAATCACAATGCCCACCTTTTAACTAAGTCAAAACATTTTATTTTCTGTTTTTTCAATTTCCTAGAACCAGTGATTAATATCCCTATCAAATTACCTGATCTTTAGGAGAGTCAACAGGACTATTCCTAGGATGAGAGCTATGCAGGAGGAGTAAGCAATAATGTAGACAGTTTCACCTAAAAATAAAAACAGAAATCAGAAATGAAACATCTGCTTGTTTAGTAATAAGAATCAGATTTGAGATCTGTATTGGAAATCATACATATGTGAGCCAAAGTAGCTATCAATTTTGACAAAAGTAATTAAAAGGAGGGAAAAGATCTAGATGTATGTCAGTGGTAGGAATAATTCTACCTTTGCCATCTGATCCAATGCAATTTTCAGACTTCTTTAGTAAAAACCAGCTCCAATAGCACTTCATATGTATAGCATTACCTTACACTCTGCTGCAGGGGAACAGCTTGTTACTATGATTTTTATTTTGGAGTATTCTCCCTTTTGATTTTTAAAATCTTAATGTTTTAGTGTGCATCACAGCAGAATTGGCTCTTACTTGTCAACTAGACTTATTTTTGTTTTTCACATATTACTGTAATTACAGTGTGGAGCAATCCTCCACCTAGAATCAAATTAACATCAAATGGGATCTAACACTGTTTTTCTGGGCCCCATTCCTGTAGAGTTTCCTTTTTCTGTTAGGCTTCTCACCAAGAAGTCACTTTGGGGGCTTATGTGCTAAAAATTCCAACTGCTGAAAAACTGGGAGCTGTTACAAATTTTATTTTCCAAAGGAGGGGTAACTCTTTTTTCCCTGACATAATGAATCCATTGGTTTTGATCAAATATGTGAAAGGAACATTTCACTTGGGAGTGCAATATAAGCCCTGGACACAGGATGGAGAGGTGTCACAAATGGCCACAAATGCAGAGCCACAAGCATAAAACATGAGACCTTTCTGTGACTTTCCTTTTTCACTGATTCTGTTGGCTTTGTGCACTCAGGTAAATTTTGTTTATAGAGGAATTCAAACACAGAGGGCCCTGGCTGCTCCCGAGCTTCTCCATCCTATTAGCCAGTGAAACATTCACTGAGGAAGAGATGGATCCCTGGGCTCAGCACTGAGCCACCTCTCTGGGCTGTGAGAAGGCCATATTCTGGTCTCTGAATAAGTTATCAGTGGTTATGTGCTCCATGTGTTATGTATATGCACATAAAACATAAATGAGGCTTTTCTGTGTGCACTGCATGCATGCAGCAGGGGTAGAGTGTCATATAAATTCATAAAAATACAAGCACAGGTGGGATGGATGCTGCAGCAGCCCTGGCAGCAGAGAGTGAATATGCTTTCCACAGCAAGGAAAACAAGGAGCTGAGCAGGGTGTTGGGCCTGCTTGGCTCTCATTGTAGGACTGTGCTCACTTTTTCTCAAAAAACTACCCCAAGTTCAAGTTTTCCAATGTAAGAAAATGAAAGTAGGGATCAAACCACAATTTGCACAAATGGAGTGAACATTCCATTTAATCCAGTAACCTACTGGAAGATACTTAAGATGGTGAATTTTTGAAGAAAGAGGTCTATCTGAGGTCTGTCTTAGAGAAGGACTGCTAATAACATATATTAAAAACTACAACCAGTTGACCTAGCTCTCAAGTTACAGCATTTCTTTAAGATGATGGGTTTTAGCAAAAGAGTGATTTGTAGGCATTTTTTTCAGTTTGAGTCTGAATTGTACATGCAGCTATTTTTGAAAACTTTTTACAAGTGTAGGAGCAGTTGTAGGGCAAACAGTTTCTTACTTTTTTGAAGTGGAAAGTGACTTTCACACATATTTTAGGCAAATGGAAACTTTTAAAGTATGTCACCACAAAAATTATTATATCTAACATTATATATTGTACAGTCATGGATGCTTAAAAATGGGCTAAAAAATTTTCAACAGAACATTGTGATCTTTTTCTTATAAAATTTTTAAAAGGTGCTTCATTTCAATCAAAACAGTGAAGTGACCAATTGAATTTTTTCTATTTTCTTGACAAAATCTAAAAAAATGCTACATTTCTGATGAATTGATGGTAAAAGAGATGTTCATTCAGTTCTATCAGGAACAAAGACGGATTTTGGTGAATCTTACTCTGTTCTGGATCTACCTGCTTAGGTATGGCTAGTGCATATTCATCGAACAGATTAATCCCAGCCTCTGCTCAGAGGTTTCTTGGTTACCTGCAGCTTGTCACAGGCTTTTTTCTACATTTATAAAACTGTCAGACTGACAATGTTTGATACCGTACACATTAAAGTTACTGGAGCTGAACTAATCTCAGTTCCCACAGCAGCTGATATACTTACAGATAAACCCTGCCAATTACCTGTTTATCTAAACACTCTACTCCTTGGTAGGAAATATATGATAACACTACAATTTAAGATGAAATTTCAAAAATTTTGGATCCAGTCCAATTATATTGTATTTCACAAGAGCAGGTTAAGTGTTCTGTATTTCTAGCTTCCTCTTCCATAAACAACCCACAACTTAGCCTCAAAGCTCCATGGTGATGAAAATAAATCCTTATCTTCCCCCATGAATCACTTTTCAAACCAATGTGCAGGAAGCAATCTTTCAAATTATTTGGATCTGTAAAGTCATTGATATCATTTGCATAGGATAAAGCCAAAGCCAGGCTGAAGATGCATAATTAGGTAGGCATATTTAGTTTAGAGTTTAGAGAAATCTTATTTGATTTATAACTTTTTGATATTGTTTTCAAAAGGAGATCAAATTCAAGCTTGCAGGAAAAGTCTCATTAACTTTTATATGGTTCTGACTCTGCCCACATCACATTTTGTTAAGAGAGTTGTATCAGCCCAAAGATGACTCTGTTGGCCTGTTCCCTCCTGAGAATGTGAATGTGTTTAAATCTGGTCCAGATTTTCACAACATCCTGGAATCACATTTTTTACACCAAACTTGGAATAAGAATTTTTCAACTTCCATGGTTCTATTTATTTACAAATATATTTGAATGTAGGCATATATGCTTAGATTTATTACTTATTGTGAAAGACTCCTTCTATTAAAGCAATTTTATCCAATGGGACAATTTGCAATGCTGCTGAATAAAACAGAGAAATTGAACTGTTTTTTTGAACAGTAAGCTATATTTTTAAGTATAAACCTAAAAAAAAGCTGAAGACATGCTCAGTTTCTTCTGAGCATGTTCATCTGTAGATGGCCATTCATTTCATCTGGTGAAAGAGTTCCTTGTATCTTTCAGTGACAAACTAAGTAAAGGATTCTTCTGAGATTTTAATGTAGAGACATCAGCAGATTTTATCTCATGTTTTTTGAGCAGAAAATAGCCAAGAAGCAAATGCCTTCAAAAGTCTTCACACACGTGAAAGGCCATACTTGACAACTTACCTGTTTTACCTCTGTGCCTTGAATTCTTTTTGGGATTTGATTTCATTAAAGATAAATATTTTGTAAAGATGATAATTCCCTTTGCAGCCTGAGTAATGCACATTTATTAGCATTTGAATCTAGGACACTGAGTTAGATATTTGGCAGTGGGATTTATGAAACAATTTGCAGTATGGTTTTTACCATCAGGCAGATTTCCTGAATCAAATTCTTCTTCTTGACCTGACTTCCTATGAGACTTTCATGGTTTAAAGTTCCCATCTCATGTACATGACAGCTACAATAGAAAGAATATTTTATTGTATGGTTTAGGCTGGTCAGCATTCTTTTTATTTTTCTAAAGCTATCCAAAGTTCTGTTAAGACTTCAAGGAATGGTTTTTGGAAAATATTCAGACTTCAATGTGAACAGAATTAACTGGGTGCAGGCTGCTTCTTGCAAGTATTTATCTGAATCTCTAAGTGAAATGTAAAATGCAATTTACCCACTGAAAGGGTCTGCAGTTAGAACTAGTCACAGGGGTGCAATATCTCACATTTTGCATTTTCTGACTTAGTGCAGTATTTCTTGTATTATGACTTGCATTATTTAACCTCTAGAGTCTTGTTCCAACTAGGGATTCAGGCTCCCTCTGCAATTGGCGAGGAGAAGTCAATAGTTTCAGCAAATGCAGTCCAAAAAGATTGGACTACTCTTCCTTTGAGGGTCCCTGACTTTCTTCTCTGGCTACACAGAGCACTTGGATGACATAGATGATTCTTAAGGAATTTTAATACTAACAGCCAAATGCTTAATTTTGCACACACAGGTCTCAGGAATCTCATTCCCTTAATTCATTTTTATATCCTTTTTATCCCTTATCCAGGTTGCCCACTTCAGCAATAGTTGAAGGATGGAGAGGTTAGAAGTCACTTTGTTTTCTACTGCATGCAGATATTGAATTATTTTTTTTCACAGTCAAAAGTGTTCTGTAGGAACAGTTCTGGGAACTAATTTGTAGTATTAGTCTGGAGAATTGTAATCTGCCCTGCACAAGGTAGAACAGGTCATTCTCATTAGAGGTGATATTTGTGCATTAAGCTCTTTATAGTTCTCACTCTGTAATTGGGCCCCTCAAAAGGAAATATAAAATAATATTATTTCAGCAATGAAAACATTTGCATATTAATTCAATATCCTTTAAGTTTATGTTGCTTAATTTCTTATTGTAAATGCATGGAAAGAAAAGCAGCAGTTCTAATAAAAGAAATAAAAGGAAATAAAAGTTGCAGCTCTTCAGCCCAAGGGGTACTGTGTGCTCTTCTGCTGTGTAAGAAGGTGGAGTCTGACGGAGGGTAACACAAGCCCCTTCTCAGACCACTTACTGTGGCTTCTAATTTTGTTGCTGTAACTACTACGGAAAGTCAAGAGAGATAGAAGCAGGTGTGACATCAAAGATAATAATTTGTGTTACACATTATGACTACCACTCTCTAATGACTGTACAGAGAGTCAGGCTCTGGCAGGCTTAATAGCTTAATTTTCCCCAATTATAATACAGGGATTGTGAGACATCTATTTCAAAACCATTTGTCAGGGTAATTGATTCAGTCTGATTAACTTTATTTTGTGGATATATAAGCTAAGCCAAACAGGTAGGGAGATTTCCAGACCAAATGAAGGAGCAGCAGGTTGAGCTTACTTGGCTGAACCCACCCAAGGAGAGCAGTGCTGTGGAAGTCATGGAGTGACTTGCCCAAACTCACCATTAATTGCAGAAGAATGGAGCTGCGCTCCGGAAATCTTTTCCCTTGGCATTTCTGTATTTACCCAGTGAAAACCCTTCTTCTGAATAGAAATTTGACCTGGATATTGGAAAGAAAATATCCATTTAAAATATTACTTAAAAATTAATATAAGTGAATATTGTTTGATATTTTGCTAACTGCCACATAATTTAAAAAGGGACCTATTTAAAAATACTGTTGACTGATATTTGATGAACAAATTGAATGAGTGCATAATAGATCTTCCTGTTCCACCTCAGTTTTTCTTATGGATGACAAGCATGCTTTGAAAATATTCTCTGCCACAAAAGAGCTTAAATTCTCTTTTCACATAAACTGTTCTAAAAATAGGCCCACCAAAAAAAATTGGGTCCACCAAACCAACGCAGAAGTGGTGAGAAAGGGATAGCAGTCTGAAGTAATTTCCACAAGGCAGAGTTTATTCTTCAACTGCATTGTTAGACCTCAAAAAAATTTTTCAGGAAGTCCTGTCCTCTCAGTGGGCATAATTTTATGAATATATCTGAAAATATATCTCTTTGGTTGAAATGAAAAATAGGAGGTATACTTAAGTATTATAGTTTACAGAGTGGAAGGCTAAACCATACAAGTATACATCTGCTCACTCACATGAACAACAAGATGAGAAATTTTTGTAATATAAGAAAGGCACACATTTTCAGCCTGGGACACTGTCCAAATAACAATGGACTAAACCTACCTGTTATTTGGGGTTTTTTTTCTGTGAGATCCAAAAGTACAGCCCAGACTTAAAGTATTTTGGAAACCTAAATTTTTTCTTCCCTCACTGACATTTTTTCTTATTCCTGCTGAGACACTGATCTTACATTGGCAATGATCCACCCTGTGCTTCTGCTTCACGCAGCAGCATTCAGTCACAATTCTTGCCTTTTACTGAGTCTGTAGTCCTTTCACTGTGAGCACAGCCTTGAGAACAAGCACTTGGAGCAAAGGCAGTGCCATGCAAGGTTAGGAAGATGAGATGGTGCAAACATCACTCCTGGACCAGTTCTAGAGGCAAAGATCCCTTTCTCAGACCCTGGGTATTTCCCTGTCCAGAAATGTTTCAGAGTTACAGATCATTGCCATTGTAAGAGTGAAAGTCAGCCAAAGATCAACCCCAGGCCAGAGGAATAATTCAGCACATGGGGTTGGGTGGGCACTGTACAGTAGTCACTCCACATCTCTGTACTGCCATGCAGAGTATTAAAATGCAGAGCATTAAAAACATGCTTTGGAATAAAACCTATGATCATCACCACCATCAGTTTAGCTGCATCACAACTAGACATCTAGGACAAAGCAAAAAAAAGCAAAAATAACTATAAGCTGGAAGTGGTCTGTAGAGTAGGTACTGATCCACCAAAGGCTCTGGATCCCTACATTCTATTTTGTTTAGCTGCCAGGAAATTGTTGCACAACACAAGAAACATAAGTTTCCATTCTTCAGTCCCAATTAGGTTTGGGCAGTTTCAATCACAAAAACCCTCTAACCATTTTAGTCCTGAGACTGCTTCAGGGAATGGCAAAAGATCGTCAGCAATTATTTGATTATTCACACATGAGGATAATTTTTTTGCTTTGTAGGTTAAGAAATAACTAACATGATGATGTGCTCACTCATTTGGACTGTTAAATTCAGCCCTCAAGCAAGCAAGTAAATAATATTCATCAGCAAAATCACTGCTAGAAGTCTCAATTCTAAGTGTGTTATATTATCACTTTTCCAGGGGAATTGTTACAAGATTTTTAATATTTTCTCAGAGTCTGGATTTGAGTAATGATTTACTAAACTAACAGCTGTGTTTCAGAAACTTGATTTTAATTTTTGGGCAGCCTTTGAGGGACATGAAAAAAAAAAAGACATCCTTATCAGTGGTACCATTTTGGTTTCTAGAACTAAGAGAGCAGCTACTTAATTCAATGAAATGCATGCACACAATCCATATATGTTTTCAAAACACTGTCCCTCAGGCAAAACTATGAAAGAACCATTTCTTTTCATTGAGATATTTTGGTGTCATTACGTCTCCCAAGTTAGTTTAAGAATATACATAATCTTGGAGTATATATGTAGAAGATAGCTGGCACAGGCCATGATGCACCAGTGAGTAACATATCCTAAGAGGATTTATATTGCAAAATAGTTGGTGTGATAAGTCAGAGATTTGAGGAGAACAGAATACTTTGGTCTTTGTTCTGGTTGATGGACCAGATGTCTGCATGCAGCTGGAGCACTGCAAAGGCTGCAGATGAACCTTCAGGTTCAGTTTATACCACAGGACACCAGGATCCACCCTATGATAGAGAACCAGCCTGTGATGTGACCCAGGACACAATAAGCGGGGAGAAAGAGGAGCTTTGCTTCGAAGGCACTTTGCAGATTCAGACTAACACATTAGGATTTGCTCCCATATTGCCATTTATTGCATTAACAATTCTCTAAATCAGAGGTTTGGCAAAGACATGTAAATTTGACAAAAATATTTAGCTAATTAAGCACGTGAAATTCATTACTGAATCTGAGAAAGTAACTATAGTTCATCTCAATTACATCCAGTGTTTTTACTGAAGACCAAATCCTAAAGCCTTCTTTAAATAATTGAAGCTATGTTCTGCAGAATGAACTCTGTTGCTAAATATGTGTAATGTTTACTAATATTCAGACTCCAAGAAGAAAAGAAAAAACCTCAAATGCTACTTTGTATTATTTGTAAAAACAGTGTGCCAAGGTAAAACATTAAGCCAAGAACAGGATGACTTTGGACTTTTTTAATCTGCATATTAATATAGACTCTAGAAATTATTTCTTTATTTCAGAAAATTCAGGTAATGAAACATGTAATAAATTCCATTGGTTAACTACTATTATTATTTTTCCCAATACCAGAGGAAGAAAACTCTATGTTCTGTAGGGGGATAGAACATAAGTAAATAAAGGCAGTATAAAATGTAATCTTATCCCCTAAAGAGTTGCAGCTGAGCCAATTATTAAGGATTAGGAGCAGGCCTGATGTTAACAGGCCACAGCTGTAGCCAGTAAGAAGAGTGTTATAAAAGAGTGGATTGGTTTGTTTAGGGGAAATGGAGTGAGTTGGCTGCTGTGAGGACAAGGAAGAGGCAGTACCTGGAGGAGCTGCCTACAAGAAACATCAAGGAGGTACAAAACTCTAGTGATACGGAACCCTTGCAATGTAATGATAATAGAACTCTTGCACTATAATGGCAAGGTGTTCAGTTTTTGTTTTGATTTGTGTTTTTAAAAACCCAGAGCTGCAGATCTTGCTGAAACCAGTGGTAGCAAAGATTTGATGTAAATTAGGATCTCAATTCTCTTTAAAACAAATTATCTAAGTTGTAAGCGTTACTCACGCAAGTCCCTGAAGCAGGATTTGCTGTGCAGCATGTGGTGGAAGAGCTCACACAAAGGCTGCTCCACGGCAGGCACGTTTTGGCAGGTGCACTCTGTGAGCAGCATCGTGCCCCAGCTGCTGACGAAGGCTGCTTTGCAATCAGCAGTGGCAGAACAGGGCACGTCATCCTTGAGCAAAGTTTCAAGACAAGCTTCGTCATTGTAACATTTTTTTGTCACGTGTCTCCAACACTTTGACCGAAAAGTTGTGTATTTTTTCCTGGTGGGGGGAAAAAATAAAGAAAAACAAAACAAGTGTACAATGACACTTTAACAAATGTGACTTCATAAAAAGACATTTAATGAACACCACTAAAGAGAGTGTATTTCCAAGGTACCACTTAAGCCTTAAAAATTGCAATATTCACTGATAGCTGATCTAAATTCTGCTCTGATTTTGAGAAAAAGCTTCTAATCAGCACCTGCTTTCCAGAGTCCAGAAAACACAGTGTGAATTCCAACAGTCTCAGATACTCAGAGAAGAAATGTGAATGCAGGAATTAGACCAGTCATCCCAATGAAACCGCACCAAGTGCTGTTCTAGTGGATCCATTTTTGAGCAATGTGAAGGAAGAATAAATGTTCAACTTATTTAGCATTAAATAATCTACATCCAATGTCAGCCCCTTGGCCCCCCAAATGCTAACACAATATAAAATTTCAAAGGCTCAGGAAAAAGGACACTGAACTTAAAGATAAATTGATAGTAGAGATAAATCACATGAAGAATTAACTTGTTACTCAATTCAGTAATCTCAAATTATTTCCATTTATTTGCTTTTGGGATGGAATAAAATTGGCCCTTAATGCACTGTATATGACAATAGAAAATATCCATTATAAATTAACTAAAAAAATGTCGGTAATTGTTAAAAACAAATCTATCATATTAAATTTTAGGGGATGATAAAGGTAAAGTCTAGTATATAGTACCTTAAGCCATTAAAATATTCTTCCTTAATCATATATGTTATAATATATAATAATATATCTGTTATATTTGCTATTAATTTGCTATATATGTTAATAACATATGTTATATATTGATATTGTGTAGTTGATATTGTGTAGTAGCCACAGGCATGTCACATGGAAAAGCATGGACTGTTGCAATACTGGGTAAAAAATTTTTGTCAATATTTTTATTACACAAGCAAGGATCTCAAAGCAGATGCCACCTCTGTTCTAACGGAATTATTTTCATTCACCTCCTGATTTATGGATGTGGCTAGCTATAATTCACAGACTAATTTTGCTAATTATATGCATTTATTGTCAGTGCCAGGAAACATTAATGTTCCCAAAATGATGGGGAATTCAGCCATAATGACATTACATGTCTATACATGTACAGACATACATTTATAGCCCTTTGGCTGTTCTCACTGACATCAATCTGAATAATGTGCAGAAAACCAAAACCATCTCTTGGCCTCCTGGTTTATTGACTGAAGGTTAATTTCAGCACAGCTTTGAGGTAAAATTCAACTCTAACCCACAAGGTGACCACACTGAAAAACAAAGTGGGCCACTTGACTCTCCTTAAAAGGAGGCAATTAGGTAGAAATACAAATATGGGTAATCCTGTTGCATGTTTTAAAAATATAAAATGAAATGTTGAAAATGCGTTATCCTTCATGAGTTTGGTGGTCTGTGCATGTTTCAGGCCAGATTTTTGAAAGCTTTTGCAAGTACCCTTGAGATGAAGAGAATAAGATAAAAGATTTTTGAACAGGCCAAGCTGGTTGCGTGGCTGTTGGGTACAAAGGGTCAGACTCTGCCCTTGAAAGGTAATTACTTTTACCAAACAAACTTTGTCTGGTCTGCTGCACAACTTGGGCAAACTGCTGGAGGGCAAAGGTGCAGACAGGCAGGTGTTATCTGAAGAAAGGGGTAATGAAAATATGAAATAGCATAGTTTGTCCAACAGAAATGGTGTTAAGTGTCATGATACAGGCAGAAGAAAAGCATGCATTAGATTCCAAACCTTTCTGAAAATTAATCACTTCAGTTTACTTGTGGGATTACTTCAGGAATTACCACAGTTGATCCAAACATCTGTGATGATGTCAAACACAGCAGATACACTGCAGAAAATAATTTTGTTATGGCTGGGATATATAGAGTATAATAAAAATGGTTTGACAAAACCATTATTAAAAAGCACCTTAGTGGGCAAAATACTTCTACTCACCTGCACAATTCATTCTCTTCACACATCTGGATTACATTCAGACATGATGGGGGTGGAACTACAGTAACTGCACAGGGCTTGCCATGGAGAAGTTCTTTGGCTCTGTAGCAGGATTCATCATGCTGGATGCAGTCACAAAATATCATCATTTGGGCAACTTCAAAAGGCATGTTTCCATAGAAGAACCTTATGGCTGCTTGACATCCTTCCACATTGCACTTCTTATTTACTGAGCACAGTTTTAGGTACAGGGACAGCTGTTTGTTACACACTTCATCTTCAACACACTCCCTGTTCACATCCAAACAGGTCCTGTTTGTTGTGTGTGCTAAAACCAATAACAGCTTTTAAAATAAAATCTCAAGAAAATTTTTCTCAAGTGATGAGTGGTAGGTGTCCTGTCTACATAATTCCAGTAAATCAAGCTTGATTCCCAAAATTGTGATCCAGCTCCTCCTTCTTTCTTGCTTCTTTTAAGCCTACTGATTAACTTCATACTTCTTTCTTGCTCAGCCCGCACTGCTCACAAGCAACCCTCCTGAAACAGGTGAAATCTCCAGTGTGCAGTCTTATGCTCAAGTAATGAAGAGAATATAAATGGCCTTTTTGTGCTTTTAACATCCATTTAGGCATTTCAAGACTGAAATAAACCTTCCAAAGATATCTAGAAAATTCTAGACCCTAAAATGCTTATGGGATAAGATTTGCCTCTGTAAGTTTGGCAGAATCATGATTGTTACCTGATTTCCATTTACATTACTTGACTGTTACCTGTTACATTTTTGGGTTGTTCTCTATCCAGTACCTTAACTGAAGATATGTTTGGTCTATTAACTCCCTGCTCATCCATTTCAATGAAAAGTATTAATTTTAATCTGAAGAAATTTTGTACACTGTCTGAAAATTGAGCTAAAATTATTTATTAGGATTCATAAGTAAATTCTGACTTACCTTGTTTGGAGAGAGCAGATAAACCCCATTGTAATTTTGTTTCCATACTAATATTGTCTAGAAGAAAAAGATACAGTACAGGCATAAATTGTAAATAACATCTTAGCTTTTTAACTTTAAAGTATTGGCTGTCTTGCTGGCATAGCACCAGGAATAAAAATAAACAAGAATAAAACAAATTAGTTTGGCCAAATAAAACCCACTAACAAATTCTGAATTCAGTATTACATATATTCATAAGTTTTGGGGTCAAAGCACAGTTTATCAAAGGCTGCTCCTAGCATTTTTTACATATTTGAAGATCCTGTGGACTCAGTAAAAGTTTTGTAGAGCTTCTCAGTGCATTATAAAGTCAGATTTCTTGTAAATATTTAAAAACCAGGGGCCTTAATGTGTTTATCAATGGACCAGTTTTCAAGTTCAACTGACTGCTTGTCATGACCTTAAGTCAAGGCTAGCAGACGATTCTTGCTATTAGTAAATTATTTTTGTTGGTCTTATACTGCTTCTAGTTATAGCAAAAAACTGAAATTGACTGATTTAGATCAGGTTGTATCAAATTAACTCATTGAAGAACAACAGTATTTGCACTTAGACCATCATATTGTATCAGATTCTGAATTTATTTGTAAATAAACCTCCTAAAATAATCATATTTCCAATTTTGAATTGCAAATGGGCGAAAATCCCTTTTTGTAGACTGTGGACACTACTGCTATGTAAAAAGCATTAGGCTGCTGGAAGAGCACTAACTTGTGTCCGTGACCAGATTTTTCTCACCATCAAGATCAGCATTATCGTCATCATCACTGCCATCACTGTCACCAGCTCCCGAGGCCTGGCTCTCCTGTGAGTGCTGTAAGCAAGGGTTGTTGAATATTCCCTTCCAGATTGTGATGCATCTCGCCCGACGCGGCTCTGGGCAGGTGCACCTTCCCAGGGGCGTTGTGCTCAGCTCTTTCCAGGCCAGCAGGCAGCTGGCGGGCCGGGGGGAGCTGCAGGTGCCCGCGGGTGCCCGGCAGTGCCGCTGGAAGCTCCGGTGCGCGGCCCAGCAGCGCGGCTGCTCCCGACACAGCCGCCTCGCCACGCTGCAGCTCCCCGGATCCGCGGGGCTCCTGGGGGGCCTGACACCCAGCTCAGGGTCCGACCCCGAGGGAGACTCCAAATAGTCTGCAGAAATAGGTACAAACAGTTATAAATCAAATGAATGGTGGATCATCATCACAGCACAAAAATTTGGGAAAAGGGTGCTGTCGCAGAAATGAGGCCTTTGTCGGGGATGAGCCATTTGTCGGTGAGGGGAGACTCGGACACTCAATATGAGTGATAAGCAAGTTCCGTTTATTGAAGAGAGCATCAGACACTTATACAGCGAGTAATAAGCTCATGAATATTCTGTAATATACACCGTCCATTGGCCACACCACAACATCAGCTCTTCCCCATTCCTCAGGGGTTACATCTCTCTTTTCTCATGTCTCTTTCACTATTTATTATCATACTACAGCTAGGCCCAAGGACATGTTATCTTGCAGGTGCAGGACTTGGAATTAGCCACAGCTTTGTAATTTTCCATTCTCTAGCAGCTAAATTCCCAACAGGGTGCTTGTCTGAATGCATTACAGCAAGTGGAACAGCCCTAGCTTAATTCTGAGCTGTGTACAAACACATAATAATTCCAGTCTTACAAACTAATGAATCTTCCTCGTGTTTACTGTGTGCTGTTAGCTGTATAGTACAGTCCACTCTAACAGTTCAGCAGTAAAACAATAGTAAAAAATCCTCACTAAAATTACTGTATAAAGAGTTTAACTTCGCATAATTTTAACCACCTACAGCTTGGACATATCATGGATTATCATCTTAAGCAAATGCATCATTTTTAAAGAGAGAATGACAACTCCAGAAGATGGTTGATTCATTACCTAAAATAGCAATTGAAGTTAGACAGAGAGAATTATTCCTGAAAGTGTCTAGCAACACCATATGCTGTCCCTTGTAGGTAAACTCAACACTACTGTAAGTCTATCCAAACTTGTTTCTATAATGAGAAATTTAATGTCAATTGTCAAAAAAATATAACATTATATCATTTTGCTAGAAGCAAAAGCAACTGTTCCAATGACAGCAACATTAGGCTTCAGATATCCATCCTTCTTGTTTGAGGCAAGGAGTTTGGGGCAGATCAGGATGTTACTATTCCCTCCACATAAGGCCACATGGTCTAGTACTATATGAATGTCCAGTCTAGTACTATGATGAATGCTGTGTGAGGCCAGTAGGGTGTGATGGATCTGTGCCAGGAATCACTTTGAAACTCACTTTGCAGACTCTCATCCACTGGCTGATTTTATCTCTTGTGTCAGCTTTGCTAATCATTATGCCAGGAGACTTTGAACCAGAAACTGCAACTTCTTCGTGTACCAAGCAATTCTCAATTACAGAGATAGACTTTCTGCAAGGATAGGGGTTCTCAGAAAAATAAAAATAAATTGAGGGGAGCTTGGCTCATTGATTAGAGTAATATTTTTAAAAGATGCACTCTGAATATTATGTACAGCTTTATGCAGGTGGTGACTATGTTTCACACATCCAGTAACCTCTCCTAGATGTAGTGAACATCCTTGTGCAACACAGTGATTGCACCCCTGTGCAATCCCCATCCACTCATCCTCCCATTCAGAAGTTACTGAATGTGGCTATATACACAACATAGATCCAGTAGCTTTTCCCTGGGCATTGAGTAAGCCTCAACACACATTGTGTATTCACTCTTGCTTTCCAGTGGATTCAACAAAAGTTTTAGAAGTCATTTGGAATTCTCACATGCATTTAATTGCTTTTGTTTGTGGCATTTCTTTCATATGCTTGATGGAGCATGAATGTCAAAGAAAAGACAAGACTAATTTTTGGGGGCATTTATCACACTTGAAAATAAAGTCAAATCCTCTTAAAATGGTGGTTGCAAAATTACTGGGTTTGGTCTTCATAATTACAACTTCATGTTCAGTTACCTTTGTTGATGCTGCACAGTTCCCCAAGCAAAGTTGTGATGCTACAGATATCGTCTGTAGTGCAGACACAGTTTCTAAATTCTGGGTATTCATCAGCCAGGACATGGATTATTCTATTACATCCAACACTGTCTTCTGCCTTGCATCTATTACCTAGAACTCACCATTAAAATTATAATTTCGTTAATGCTTATGAATGCTTAAGGGATATAGTTACATAAAGCAATTCAATTGAAAAACAAAAATATTATGCTTTGCCAAGAGAAGACAGTCTTATTTTACAAATTTTAAATAATATTCAAAGTAATATAATAAAGCTGTGGGTACAATATTGACTTCTTTTATTTGATCCAATCCATTGCCAGAAAATTTTCTCTCAAAGTACACAAAACCTTAAACCCACATCTTTTATTTTAGGCAGATCAGGCACTGAGACCAAACTGAACAGGTGCCTGGGAGTGGAAGGGGCACAGCCTGAACTGAGAGACTTATCTTGGTCCTGTGTAGCAGAAACGAGGTGCCTGGTACAGGGACAGGAACCCAGAGTGCAGGCTTGAGGCATCACTGTGTGATGGAGTGAGAGACAGGACACAGAGGGCAGAGCCAGCCCCATGATAATGGTGATGAGAACCCCAAGCTGAGGAGATGCTTGCTGTTCTCTCTCTCATGTGAGGATGGTGCAAGCCTACAAATGCCATTTGGATATTCCCTTGAACCCCTACCCCACAGAACAACTTCACTGCCTAAGTTTAAGAATGACAACAAATTTAAAGCAGCCCAAGAATAGTCTGATTTTTAGGATTTTTAGAATAAAAATGAGGGAGAAGTTAATATTAAAAAAAATGGTGCAGAAACTTTAGTTTGCTGGCCCAGTTTCATGTCTGTTTGCATGTGCATTTGGACTCAATGGTAACGACACACAGGATGTCAGGTCAAATTTTCCACGTATGTGTGGTGAAAATAAAGAACATGTACTAGTTTGTGGTACAACGGTAAATCAATCAACCATCTACTTTATGAGATAAAAGCTTTTCAAAAATATTATTGTTATGATGATAGTGGGATTGTGTGCATCCTCAGCAAATTTGCTGATGGCACCAAGCTGTGTGGTGCAGTTGGCACGTTGGAGGGAAGGGATGCCCCTGGAGGGACCCTGGCAGGCCTGACAAGTGGGACGACACAAACCTTACAATGTTCAATGAAGCAGAGGGCAAGGTCCTGCACCTGGGTCATGGCAATCCCAGACACACCTGCAGGCTGGGCAGAGAAGGAATTGAGAGCAGCCCTGCAGAATGAGACTTGGGTGCAAAGGTGGATGAAAAGCCCATCATGAGCTGACAGTGAGTGCTCACTCAAAGCCGTGTGCCCTGGGCTGCATCAAAAACAGCGTGGCCAGCATGTGGAAGGAGGTGATTCTACATCTCTGCTCTGCTTCCATGAGACCCCAGCTGGAGTGCTGCATCCAGCTCTGGTGTCCTCAGCATAAGAAGGACATGGGACTGTGGGAGCAAGTCCAGGTAAGGGTCAGGAAGTTGATAACAGCACTGAAGCTCTTCCCCTACAAGGAACAGCTGAGAAAGCTGGGCCTGGAGAAGAGAAGGTTGTGTGGAGACCTCACAACCTTCAGTATCTGAAGGGGCCTAAGGGAAGCCAGAGGGATTCCTTGTCAGGAACTGTAGTGACATAACAAGCAGTAATGGGTACAAACTGAAAGAAGAGAAATTTAGGTTAGATTTTAGGAAGAAATTTTTTTACTGTGAGGATGATGAGACATGGGAAGAGGGTGCCCAGGGAGGCTGTAAATGCCCCATCCCTGGCAATGTTCAAAGCCAGTTTGATAAGGCCTTGAGCAACCTGGTCTAGTGGGAGCTGTCCCTGCCCATGGCAGGGGGGGTTGGGGCTAGATGATCTCTAAGGTCCCCTCAGCCCTTATCATTATATGATTATATGATTTATTATTGATTAAGAAAGTTACACATCACTTAAGAATGTTACAAGTGAAGCAATTTAATTTGATTTAGATAAGTTTTATTTTGTGAAAGCCATGATTTACCTTGTTAAAACAGGTATGTGGATCCCCAAACCAGCACATTTCCTCTCTTTACCTCAAGGATATTAAATGTCTCACAATATGTAAGAGAAGCAGTCTGTGGCTCACGAGATCCAGCCAGGTCACAGGGCAGCATGAGGGCTGGTTTCTGTCCCCTGAGCACACAGGCTGATGTCTCTGCCCTGCAAATGGTGCTGCCTGCTCCCTGCCTGGCTGCTCCCACAGGTGTGGGGCAGCAAAGACTCTGCACTCAGTAAAACTGCAAGTGACAAGAAGTCCTGTGTCACCAGCACCAAGGGCAAGCTTTGATGTGAGCAGGGCTTTAAAATCACTTATATGCTGCTGGCACAAATAGCAGTGGAAGGCAGTGGAGGCAAAGCTCTGCAGGAGGAAACAGTGCATTTTGCCACTGCCTGAAGTAATGAGAATCAGCTATTCCTGACTTCACATCCCTGTCCTGATCCCCCTTTTTACCAACAGTCTCTGCATTGCCCTTTCTCCAGCTGCTGACGAAGGAGGGTTTGGGGGATATATTAAATAATACACTGCCAGTGGGGAATGTCCCAGGCCAGCAAGAGCTGCAGGTGCCAGCCTCTGCTCCCACTCCACCTCTTCCATCAGCAAAGACCTGATGGTGGCTGGGGTTGCCTGTATCTCTCCAACCCCATCTTCAAATTTCCTTCTGCTTTTTCAGAAGTAGATCATGACCCCAGACCCTTAGCACTCACAATTCCAGAAGTCAAGGAACTCAGGAGATTTATTGAAGGTCACAGACATAGGATACTTCCTGACCATAAAAATAGGATGGAAAGGATGCAGTGACATGGCCCATGAAGATGAGTGTGTGGATATTCTACTCTGCATTTTATCAACTAAGAAAGGGAGAATAAAAGAATTTCAGGAAAATATATTCCAGTAGAAAGAGAACAATAAAGATTAGGAGGGGCTGGTGTAAAAAGTAGCTTATTCACAAAATTTGTGACTGCCTTTTTCAAGGTGCAGAGCACACCTCAAGGGTGAAGGTGAGTAGAACTAGAAGAATAAGCCCCCATGCCCCAGTGTATTTTGCACAGCCCCCCAGCCTCACTCAGCTCACCTGTTTTCATGGCACTGCCCAGTCGTGGCCAGGAGTTGGGTCTGAGTTCAGTGCCCCTGTGCTGTGATCTCACTGTGCTGAGCCAGCACCTGGCAGCTGGGGCTGGGGAGAGGCTGTGGGGCCACCAACATGCAAAGGGCACAGACACAAGCAGGAAGCACATCGGATTTATGGGGCTCCCTTGCGTGACTTCTTAAAAACTGTGTAGAAATAACCTATTATCAGTATTGCTCTGTTTGTACATGGTATTGATTCAGCTGTGATTAGCAGCAGAAAATATTTTATTACTTGTTTTCAATTATTGTTGCTTTACCAGGGATTAGTTCTAGGTAATATATTTTATCTTATACATATGCTTCTAAGGCATTTAAGAAAAAAAATGCTCTCTCAACCTAATGTTTGGCAGCCATTATTCATAATTTCATTTATTTATAGGTGCACAATTCATGTACACAGGACCACAGGTAGAGGCATGGCAGAGTAGTAGCTGACACTCCCAGGGTGATAATCTCTGCTTTTGCTTAATCAGCTCTTCAGTCATCTCAGTGGGAATTGCATTTAAAGACTACAGAGGAAAGTGTGAGGTTTTCCTCTCTAGCACTGGTGAGACCACAGTTTGAATAGATCTCCAGAGATGCTTCCAACCTCAATGAGTCTGCTATTCTAGGAAAATTAAACTCATACAGATCTAATTCAAAATGTGATTCCTTAAAATGAAAGTGATTTGAGTTGTTTTTTTTTTAAACCTTTCCTGTTTCCCATTCAAAAAAATAAAGAAAATTTATACTTATGGTTAAATCAGTGTTCAGAAATGTCTTTTTTTTTTACATTGAAACAACAAAAGGAAAACAAACAAATAATCAATTCCACAAATACACCATAAAAACCCAAACCTAAAAATCTTCATTCAGCAGTGCTGAAACTCTTTTGATTTTTTCAAAATGAAAAATCTTATTTCATCAAAATTTAATATTTCTATCTTTTCTATCCTGACCTGGAAGCTGATTCATAGACATTTTCACACAGTTTTTTCTTTCCACCACATTTTGGCCACAGAGATGATAGAAGGATTGGACCCCGAAGATTATAAACTGAGACTCTGGAAATGCTGCTGGATATTGGGGAAGAAGTGATGGAAACTTTGACAGGAAAAGGAGTGACTTAGGCAGTAGTTTGGAGAGTGTTCCCAGACCTGCACCGAAGAGCAAAAGATGCAGGTTCTGATAATGTACAGATTTAACTTTGAGGTTACAGTCTGATGGACTGAGCTATCGAACTCGTACCCCAAAGGAGTTTCATTATAATTTGTAGTTAGGTTTTCCACAAAGAAACTAACAAAGCAAATATTTACCCCATTGTTCTATTGCCTCCAAGTAACATGTTTGTGCTCAAAGGACATTTTTCATTCCGACAGCATGAAATTTCTAGACTTGCACATGAGAGTCAGTGTACTGTTACTCTTACTGAAGATGCTGCTGGTGGGTTTTCTATCACTGTTTCTGTGGGCTGTCTGAGAGGTACCACCAGCTGTCTGACTGGATTCTCATGCTCTGGGATCATGGTACTAAAAGCACATTTAGTAAAATTTGTCCTAGACCCAACACAATATCTGAGTGTTCTGCAATGCTGGAGAGTCCTTGCCAAAATCTATTGTCCTAAGGAAACATACAGATGCAAATCCAAACAAGCAGTCACAAGAATGAGTATTTCTGGAAGATTTCTCTGGCCCAGTTACAAATATCTTTTATATCAGTGAATAATACATAGGATAATAAGAATATTATGGGACAATGTCATACATCCAAAGGGAGGCCATAGAAGCAATCATGTTTGCCCATTTCATCTGGCTGCAGGGTACCAAGATTAACAGGCTACAGCACAAATATATGTCTTTGTGGCAAGTAGTGCTGGTGCTAATGTGTTTGTGAATGATGTGAAAGAAATAAATTCAGCTTGTTCTGTTTTGGTCCTAGAGAGCTCATCTTTAGGGCACTTGAGCCAGAAAGTACTGCATATTCCAATATTATTTTTTCCTAAACAGCAGCCATATCTTTTGAAACTGTTTCATTTCACATAAAATATTCAACAGATCAATAAAAGAAGCCCATCTGCTTTGGGAACTGTTGTAACTGTTACATTATCATATACTTTTCATTTACTTCATCTGTTCTTAAAAGTATTCAGACATTCTATGCAAAGTAGATAAGTATCTGGAAAGGGACACACTAAGAAAGACCCCAAAGAGAATTTTCTACTCTAATTATTTCAAATATTGTCTTGTGACTTGGGACATTTGGAACATCAAATACATGCAACAGATCAGACAGACAGAGGCATTCATTCAGGTAGCTCATACTAGAGGTGAATGTTTTATCTGTTTCTTATTCTAGTACAATAATTAAAAATTACTCTAAGTAACTACCACATTGTTTTGGGTATTGTGTTAGATTATAGAACCACAGAATTGTTTAGATTGCATTTAGTTACCAAGGAATATTGTAATAAACTATGAACATACAATTGCATATAGCAATTCAAAATCAAGGAGCGTACACCATACAGAATTACCTGAAATATTGCAGGCATCTTCAACCACATTCCAGACACTCTCACATCCATTTCCAGCATTAATACATTGCTCCCTCAAGTGCAGACAGTCAGTAGTCTGGACAGTAGATATACATGTGAAGTAAATGAACAACACTGTAAAAACAGAATACAATGACTATTTAAAGCAGTAGATACTGTACTGACCCTTTTCCTTTAAACATAGATTTTAAAAATATAATTTACTATCATTTTTTCTATAGATTCAAGTTTGCTATCAAATTAAATTTTAGCAGAACAAAGTTTTCCTCCATTTTGTAACTGGAAAATTAAATTTAAATGTTCAAAATTTCAGTGTGGCATATTTTGCATTGGTTTTGCCCCAGTATTATAACAGTAACCATAGTTATATATGACATTGGTACATGGATATATAGAAATTGTTGCAGTTCTGAGCTCCACAATAAATTACAGAAAGGAAGACAGTATAAAATTCAGAATAAACAGTACTTTATTCACATGAAATCTCACCAAACTAAGCTGTTTAGGAATTCCTATGAATAGAGTGTGGGAAAGAGATTTGACAACTACAAAACTGTTAAATAATAAATATGATTTTATTTTATAAATACAGTACTCTTCACTCTCTTTATTTTTATTTCACAGATGCATAATTTCTTGAAAGCAATCTTCACATATATGTCTTCATCTGCTTTCCTGAGCGCATTGAGCCTGCTAATTACATTAAAAAGTTCTGGAGGTTTCAAGGTAAAGAATTTTATAGCAGCACTGCCTGTGACTTATCAGTAGAAAATTAAATTGCCTTGTTAAGAAAGGATAAATCAGCTGGGGTTTAGCTCTTTCATTAACATTCCCATGGTAAGGCAACCTCTAATTTGTAATCATGTGTCTTTATTTTCTATAAAATTAAGTTTCAGTCACTGATTTCAGGCCTTATCAAACTACCTGCTAAACACCTGATGTGTTTTCTTTAGTTGTTGAAGAACACAGCATCTTTCTGACAAAATACCTTCCCCCCGCCCCCGTCATGTTCAGGTAAATTCATGTGGAATTTGAGTGGTTTCCAGCATTGTTTAATCCCTTAAACATCATTTGCAAGAGGCATGAAATGTTGCTTCAGGATTTGTTCAGACCCTAGCTGAAGAAATTAACTTTTTTTCAATTATACATTTTAGAATAAGAAATTATATATCAAATATCCTTCTTGATAACCTTAAAGAGCCATTACTGTTTAGAGGTGATTCCATTCCTTCTGGGAACTATATGCCAGTGATATAATAATTCTGCTGTAAGGAACACTTTTCGGACGTGTGTCAATAAATATGAAGCAACATTTAATACATAATAATGGACAGGTGCAACAGCAACTAGTGTGCCTGTGAGACAACAAAGAGGCCACAAGCACTTATTATAGCTGGTGCTAATCCTTGCTCAGTGGTGCATATTCCCAACAGTTCCCAGATCCATGCAGGACTGGTGGTAATTTCCAGCCTCAAACACTCCCGGGCTCTGTCTGTCCATCAGCCTTGAGGACATACTGACAGAAACAGCTCCTACCTCTTGGCCTTGAGGAATGTGCAGCTGGCCCTATCCATAGGACAATTGAGGCTTATTATGACAGCATTTTAGTTCTAGGACTGCCTCCAAAAGGTCTTTCTTATTTTGAAATTCCTCACTATTTATTCAGATGACAGAAAAAAAAAAAAGTTGCCAAATACCTTACAGGGCAAAATGACTGCATATATAGAACAATACAAAATTATAAACCCACATATTTATTAAGAAAAGGTATTTTGCTGGATGACCATTTATCTATTTTTTAGGCTCTTACACAACAGAAGGTTTACTCATCTGACTAGGATTCACATCACAAAGTCTCTGTGCTCTCTTCCTCGTGTTCAGACAGTTTTCAAGGACCAGTGGCTGGGACAGTCAAAACAGGACTGACTGCACAGCCTTCCTGCCACGTTTTAGGGAGTATTTCACACTGCTGCCCGTTTTGAACCTAACTGGAAACTGGTCCAAAAATAGGAGGAGATGTTTTTGCAAAATAAAGAGGTGAGTAGCATAATCTATGATTTAAGACACTACAGCTGAAGGAAGGGTTCTTTAGGTCTAATGACCTATTATGGATGGGTCTATGATTCCTCAGCAGAACAGAGGGGGTACACAGCCAGAAACCTACACGAAACAAACTGTCCTATACGATTTTAGAGTCCAGAGCACTCTAGCTTATGCAATTTCTTAAACTGACAGATATTACTTTAGTTGCTCACTTTAATTATTTACTCTAGTGTTTGGAAAACTAAGTGATTCTGCATAGAAGAGTTGAGGTCATCTAAGAGTTAGTTTGCGGCTAAAACTTTTAGCAAGATCCATATTGACAAGAAGACACACATTTAAATTTCTACAGATGTCTCTATTTTTATGCAAAGGCCTACTGATTTGCTGGGTAGGTGTACAATTCTCTGTTTTCTGTAAAATTTGGTGCCTAAATCTAAAAGGAGGAAAAAAAGAAACATTTTAGCACCTTCATTTTGCAGATTGGGAACTGAGGAATGGAGGAATTACATTTCCCAATTCTGCAATCCTAAAATAACGAAAGTAAGTAATAATGAATATTAGGAAACGAAGCTGTGGTTTCTATCCAATGGCAAGAGCAGTGGGATAACAAGCTCCAAAGGCAAAATGGCAAACTACAGCTGAATATACTTTGAATATAGTTGAAAAGTGATAAAAGACAACTTTATTTTAACAAAACCTAGGGCAGAACTACCTATGGAATACTTTTAACACAGAAATATCAGTTTAGAGTAGTGGGGTGTTAAAGAGAGAAGAGCATGTATACAGTATATAGTGAGGAGAAAAGGAGAATAACAAAAATTAACATACAACAAACTTGTCTCATCATATTCTCCTGTACCAAATCTTTCTGTACCAGCTTTGTTATTTTCCCCTTTTCTCCACTCAAGCCCGAAGGCAGTGTGAGCAGCCCTGTATGCAGCCCTGGCAGCACCC